GAAATTTATAAAGGTAAGGACATGAACAAGACATTCAAACATGGTTGAATAAAGGGCTTTGGGGAATTCAAACTCAAGTGGAAGCCCTAGTCAAAAGGTTTTGAAAAGATCAATAAAGAGAAACCCTAAAATTTCAACTAATTAAACATTTAATAAAAGTATTTTTCAAACGAAATAATACTTAACCAAGATATACACAAGTTAATACAACATTCTATATATATCAACAATACTTTAAACAAAGTTTATCATGACCACAAAGACACATAGGTGTAATTAGGTTAAGAAAAGAATCAAAAGAATTTAGGAAAAGGTGTGGAAAAAATACTTAAAAAGTACTAGTTTCCAACCTAATGAAAATGTCAAAAATAAACATTATTTTTGGAATTTAAAAAAGGATTCTCAAAATATACAAGATAAATGAGAAGTATGCAAAAAAATTGGCTCAAAAATATTATTTTTGCTTGGTGAAATAAATGGGTGAAGTTGTGAAGAAAACCATAAAAAATAGTGTTAAAAAAAAAATAAAGAATGGCCTTGCTAAGGTTTGAACTCACGCCCTTGGACTGAGGGGCCTAAAACAATACCATCTAAGTAATGCACGTGTGGTTGACAAAGAATGGATGATGACAATAATATATGAAAGTTCCCTTTTGAAAATGTTGAAAAAAAATAAACCAAACGGTTTGGGGCGAGGGGGATTCAAACCCCACACTTTGGACACTCAAACCTCTCAAATGCACGCTTTAACTATTGGGGTGGTGATACATTCGTTGATTAAAATGTAATGAAATAAATATATATTAAAAACACTTTTTATTTGAAAAAGGGCGCCCTCCATGTTCATCTTCTTCCACGAGTATCCTCTTCTTCTTCAAAAATTTGAAAATCCCAACTCTTTGAATACTCCCAAATGGCATGATGTAAAAATGAAAATTGTTGGATTTTTCACAAGGAATTGAATAGTATTAACCAATTTTATTTATATTAAGTGTATCAAATAAAATTAATCTAACACCATATGAACCCTAACTGAAGAATTCAATATGAAATCTCATATAGTCATGATACATAACAATTAATTGAGGGAAAATGATCCCAACATCATGAAAAACATGTCTGTAACTCAAATGATTAGAATTGATGCATGAATCATAGAGTTCAGTTTAGAGCAACTTACCATGCAAAAGTAGAAATCGAATTCCTTGGTAGGAGTGTTCCAGATGTAGTTTCTTTATGCTAATAGCTTCCTTGACCTCCAAGGAGTGTGTTACAATGCTTAAATTGGTTTGAAAATTTCTGGAACTTCCTGGCCAAATCAATTTGCAGCTTATGGTGTATTTGAACCAAATGACATGTGACTTGACGATTCTGATGTTACAATTAGTGTTTGAGTGTTTAGATCACTTACACATGATGTATCTGAAGTGTTTGGATGCTTAGTTTGATTGGAAATGACCTTGAACTGAGAATTCAAGTTTTCACTACTTTGAGACTTGAAAATTTTTGAAAGAGGAGGAATGAGAGAAAACAAGCTCTTGAAAAGTTTTGTTGTGTTTAGAATGTTCAGAATTACCTCTATTTATAGGAGAAATACATCAAATATTTTAAATTTGATAGGATCATGATACATGCTATTATCCAATAGGTGATGTCATGAACCTACTTCTTGAATGTCAAGGCACACATGGGCTATTCTTCACATGGCTCACATTCTGATCTTTTGAGCTTTGTTCCACCAGGTTACATCATATCCTTTGATGTTCTGATCATCCTTGGGAAGATTGGAGGTTTTTTTTCGAAAATCACTATAGCACTTTAATGCTAGAGGATAAAACCTAACTTCATGGTTTTGAAATGATTTTTTCTCACATGCCAAGGCTAGAAATCTTGATAATTCTGTTATGCTTTGTAGAGCACGTGTTTCATGATCATTTTGGTGTTTATCTTGTGAAGATTTTATGTTTGAAAGCTCATCTAAATCATGCCATAACAAAATGTGTAACAAATATGTCTTGCAAAATAGATTGCACAAGGCATGTTGTGAAGATGATAACTCTTTGTCCAAATAAGATAAATGGATGTTTTTGGACATTTTGGAAAGCTGGGATAACCCACTTCCACTTTGATGTTCAAGGTTTGTATTTACTCAATGTGGATCATAGTGAAAAATAGCCCTAAATTTGGCTTCAACATAAGACAGATTCTATTTAAAACTTCACTTAGTGTTTACGTTCAAAAAGTATCGAACCTCCAACTTCATGAATTCATATCTCTCAATCTATGCATTTTTTGGGGAATTCCTCCTCAAGGACAAAGTTGTAGTATATAACAAACTCTTTAATTTGATATTTGAATAAAAAAATGGTTACTTAGATTGGAAGTTATGATCTTGACAAGTTGGACAAAAACCATGATCTTTCTTAACTTAGAAAATTTCCAATTTCTCTAATGTTGCCCTTTTTGAAAGTAACCTCTCTTTTCTTGACTTTGCTTGATCAATCATGATCCAAATCACATATAAAATCATTCTTGACTTGAAGAAACCATATTTAACCAAAAATCTCAAAAGACAAACTTGATTTTGACCATAGTTGACTTTTGTATCAGATGAACTTTGAATTTGGTGATATTTTATGAAATGAAACCCTTGGGCTATTTGAACATTATGGAGGAATTGTAAAGGTGTTTTGAGTGTCTTTAATAATGTCCTAGGTTGAGATCATGTCTTGGTCAAAAGTCAAATGTGCAACTGACTTTTCATTAGAAACTCTAGTTTGTGGCCCAGATGAATTTGAATTCTTGAATTGCTTATGAATCAAGTTATTTGGATAAATAAAATCATATGAATGGACTAACATGATGAATTTGAGGTCCTTGAAACATATCTTGAGATATTGGATCATGCCTTTCTCCAAAATTAAATCAAGGACTGGATTATGTCAAAAACCCTAATTTTGGTGCACTGAGGATCTTGATGCTTGATGAGTTTGTCATGATGTAATCTTGCAATTGATTATGAAAGCTCTTGATTATGAATTAGTAGGTATTAGATGCCCAATTTCACTTATTTGAGCTATCAAATATGGGCATCTTTCAACCCCTTTTGTCAAGAAAGTATTCAAAATCGCTCTTGCTTTGGTTGGTTTGCAACATATTATGAAAGCATTTTGGTAGCTTTAATTTGTGTGTTATTATGCAGGAATTAGGCATGAAAGAGTGGAAAATTAAGATACAAGAAAGATGGAAAAGAAACCAAGATAGTAAGCAAACAACAGCAAGTTCGCTAGGCGAACTTACCAGCGAAGCTCCCTCCAAACTTCACAAAGTTTGCTAGGGGAAATATGTAGCGAAGGCCAGGAATTAAGGCACTATTCACAACAGAATGGAAATTGGCCTAAACTCGCTAGGCGAGGGAGGCAGGTAAGCACTCGCTAGGCGAAGGAGCAGCGAGTAGCCAGCGAACACCCCCAGACTTGGGACAGAGGTGAAAGGGCTATAAACTAGCTAAGCAAGGGAGGCAGCGAAGAGCTCGCTAGGTGAAGAAGCAACGAGCAGTCAGCGAACACTCCCATACTTAAAACAACAAGGAAAGGACCATAAACTCGGTAGGCGAAGTTCACAGCAAAGGCTTCCCCTAGTGAAGAATTACTCGCCTAGCGAACTTTTGGAAACTTGTCTGGTGAGAATCCTCAGGACACAGGCACTTCAGGTGGCACTTTTTGGAGTTCGCTAGGCGAACCACTTTGTTCGCCTAACGAACATGACAACTTAAGTGACCCTTATATATGTAGCATGGACTACTTTTTGTAAAAATATCTTTTTTCTTGTACTTGCATTAGAGAGGATTTTTCTGACCTAGAAATTCATTCTTTCATTTCTCATCATCTCTTAGCAACATTTCACAAAAAGAAGGTGGATTCCCATCCAATCTCGATTATTCGACTCATATGTTAATCAAACTTCTTCCAAAACTTGTTGCTCAAGCTATCATGGAAATGAGTGGCTAAATCCCTCTCTTGTCAAGGTTAGGAGTAGTTAGTTCAGATTTTATGTATTCTTCTTAATATCTTATATGTGAACAATGTTATGATCAATGTAGATGAATTTATTTGCTACTATTTGTACATTTATGGTTCGGATTGCTTTAGACATGAACTTTCCAAGTCTTGACCTAATATCTTCATCTATCAACTATACAAATGCTAGAGATAGATTTGAAAGTTGA